GGCTCGCCTGAGCCGGCGCTGCCGTTGCAGGTGCGGTTGGCCATAGCCGAGAAAGCTCTGCAGTGCGAGGAGCACGATGTGAACCTGCCGCTGAGCGAGCACAACGAGCCCTGGTTCATGCGCCTGAGTTCCTCGGGAGAAGTGCCCGTCCTGATCCATGGGGAAAACATCATTTGTGAGGCAACGCAGATTATTGATTACCTGGAAGCGACGTTTGTAGATGGTAATCCCACCGGCGTTTCGGTGTGACATCCCTCCCCTCCCCCGTACCGTGCGGCAGTGCTGGGGCAGCTCCGTGGCACTGCGGGGCTGTCCAGGACAGAAAATGTTTGTGCATTTACATATGTTTCTACACTTATATACACACATTATAAATGTTTATACATTTATACGGATACAATGTATATACATCATGTTTATACTTATATATTGTATATACATGATGTTTATACTTATACATTGTATATACTTAATGTTTATACGTTTACATCGCAAGAAAATGGGCTCTCCTAATAGCTGGCCAGCATGGGATGAAAACACATTCCTTTAGAGTGAACTGAAGGCCTTCCAGCACCTTTGCAACCTTTATAAGTAAAAACCTACCACAGTCCTCCTTTGGCCTTCAGGAAGGATGGAGAGGCCAGGAATGGCAGCAGCACTGTGCTAACCCCGAGGTGACACTGCCATGAAAAACAATGTGCTGAACAAAGAGCTGCACAATTGCTGTTGTTGGGCAGGTCCAGATTCTCTGCGAGATAAAAAGAAACATACTTAATTCCAGAATAATCTTGGGTGGAAAAAAAAGAAGTAGAATGAATAGATTATTTTTAGACCCAAAATGGAGTGAAGAGGTAAAAAAGTAGGAAGAGAAACCTTGGAAGCAATCATGTGCAGGTTTTGTAGTTCTTTGTGTCTGTATCACCCAAAAAAAGAAAAAAAGAAAAGACTGCCTCAATTTGTGAAGGAAATACAGAGCTATAGTTTTGTATAGGTGTGAAGATGGCAGCATTTTGTGTTTCAGGGATTCAGTGCTGCAATTTCTAAGGCATGAAGAAAACTTAATTGTTGAGTGAACATCATTTGTATTTAATGCTGGCTTTTAGTCAAAAAAGGAGTCAGGGCCCAGGTAGGTGGAAGGCAGGGTAAAACTCAGTGGTATGCAGGAATACTTTTAGTTGTACTTTGAGTAGGACTCCTGTACTGTAATTATTACAGCATTGTGGTAATAATAATGTTTTGGTCCATGGAATCTCATCTGTGCCCTACTGTAGGAGCGCTAAAGGGTTGTCTGTCATGATTGCCTGTGTTGCCTGTACCTAGAAGTACGTAACAGATGCTGAATCTGGTTTTCTGATTTGAAAACCTCTTAAATATGTGTTTACGTGGGTTGCTGCCTAGGAATTGGAATTAATAAAACATTTTAAAAGGAAGTATATATTTGTATTTCTCGAGCTGCAATAACACTGTTGAGTTACAGTGGGGAATGAGTGGAGCTTTCTAAACTGTGGCTGTGTCACCTCTGCATGTTGGACATTACTGAAGGAACTTTGGTCAGTTACATGGTTCTACTTTTCTTAACTTTGTGTTGAACTTTGTATTGCAGAGGAAGTACCAAGATTAATGCCAGAAGAGGGAAGCATGTATTATCCAAGGGTGCAACACTATAGAGAACTTTTAGACTCCTTGCCTATGGATGCCTACACACATGGCTGTATCCTGCACCCTGAGTTGACAGTGGACTCCATGATTCCAGCCTATGCTACCAGCAGAATTCGTAGTATGTACTCATATAGCTCTAAATGTCTATCAGTTAGTAGGCTGTTGCATTACATTCGTGTTTTTTTCTTCAACGCACCTTAAGCAGAAAATACTGAGCACAGTTTATGAAGTTTAGTTGCAGTCCTTGATGATTTGTGCATATACTTTTTATTGATTGTATAGTCTGTTATGATTTGAAGATGGGAAAGAGGGAGTGTAATTTCTGAGGTGTCTGTGGAATTAATTTTTGTACTATGGCAAACTTTTAATTCATGCTTTTATGTTTCTTTCTAAGTATTATGAAAGTATTATGCAAGGACCAAATCCTGACTACACGGCTGGATGATGATTCCTTCTTTACAGTTGTATTCTGAGATCTCTGATTTTTTGTCAATGTCAGTGGTTTATATTGTGTTGATTTTTTTGTATGGTATTTTAGAATGCTCCATAGAACAAAGTCAAATAGTGCAGAGACTTTGAAATGCAACTATACTATTACCAAATTCACGATATCATAAAAGACGACACTGTTAGTTTGAGAAATTCTATTTCCAACAGACTGTGTTATCCCCCTCCTTAAAATTTTTCGTAAGTCAATTCTCTTATTAGCCACACCATTATATTGTCAAAAGTGAAGGCAGGCAGTTAGTTTTCCATATAGTTGCATGAGTTATCCTTTATAAAACATCAGTGCAGAATTCGGGGGTTTTTCTGTCTCCTGGAAACTTCTAGAGCATTGCAAAGTATTTAGAAGTCAATGTTGCTGGTCCAGTGATCAATGGTTATTTAAAAATAAATTCCTGATAAAAAGTATCTGGAGAAATTTACAATAAGTAATTTCAGCAAGAGTAATTGGCATTTTTTATTGTTTTTAACCAAAGTGACATAGAATCATGGAATGGTTTGGATTGAGAGGGACTTTAAAGATCATCTAGTTGCAGACCCCTGCCATGGGCAAGGACACCTTCCACTTGACCAGGTTGCTTTAAGCCCCAGGCAGCCTGGTCTTGGACGCTTTCCAGGGGTGGAACACCCATAGCTTCTTTGGGCAACCTGTTCCAGTGTCTCACCATCCTCATAGTAAAGAATTTCTTACTAATACTTAATCTAAATCTACCCTCCACCAGCTTAAAACCATTCCTCCTTGTCCAAGAATATGAATTAATCTCATACAGCAGTGTAGTGTCTAGTTTGGTAGTTTGTTTGGATTTTATTCCCCCTAATGTGAATGCTAACTGTTTATTGAACAATTGTGCTTTACTCTTAGGCATTGTTGATAGTTCCTCTGTTTTCCCATGGAGATCGTGCTGTTATTACAGTTCACTTTACAACATTGTCTTATGCTTTTCTCACTGTTTGTATTCTTCCCCTCTAGCTTCTAGTTGCTATAAATTGTCAGTTTGCACATGTTCATACTGGCAGAGCTAAAATTATTACTCATCTAAATTGGGATGTTTTCTTATCTATTTATACTTAAAGCATAGCCTACTTTCTTGATTTGAGGCATTTTTTTTAATAGCTTCTGAATGTTCCAAAGCAATTCCTATGCACGTTCAAACTTCTCCTGGATGGTTTCATTTTCAGCTTTGAAAAGCTGTTCTATTTCAGACTGCTAGATATAATAAGCCAACAGCCAGTTGTGTGTTATATTTATGCGTACCAAATCCAAGTAAGTAATTAATTGCATATGTAAGACTTTACTTGTGTGATCACATCCTTCAATTTCTTCATATAAAGATGGCTTTCACAGTCATGTCAGGTCAAAATGAGTATATAAAACAGGGCAGTTATTATTCTCTAGAAAGAATTTTTTATCCGTTTAATTTTTAAGACTTAACTGGAACTAAACCTAATTATCAAGTACAAGTGAGATGATTCATGCTCTGTAATTATTCTTTTATTCTCAGTTTATTATTAGAAATATTTTTAGAATAAGACTTATTATTCACTGTCTTTTGATATTCTAGGTCTGTAAGTGTGGCATTTTCAAGCAAAGCCCCATTTTAAGGGGAGAAAAAGCTATACACATGTAGTAGCAATCAGTAAAATTATTAAACTTTTCACATCATTCCTTCTTAAAGTCATGTAATTAATGTTTTTGTAGAACATCCACATTGTCCTTAGTGAACATTTCCATAAGGGATCACAGATGTTGGTGTCACATTTTAGCCAAAACACCTTTCAGTGTGGGCCTATCTGCACTTTCATAGCATGAAAAGTGTATTTGGAACTCAGGAACTGAGGTATAAAAACATCAGAGACCTAAAGTCTTTGTAGTAGAATTTGATTGATTTAGCACAGATTTTGGCAACAAAATATTTTTATCTGAATAAGAGGAGTATATTAACAAGAATTCCTTATTCTTGCCTTCACCACTTTATAGAATACATTGCAGACTGATGAGTGGAAGGTGTGGTGGGATCAATTTAAGCAGCAGTTAAGTTTTCCTAACTTGGTGTTGATGCCTTATTGAGTTACCACTTCCCATTTCTTTGGTGTGATATTTGTACACAGACTATCAGTTCTTGTGGATTGCATTGTGGATATACTAAATGCATTATTGCATTTGGATACCTTATATTTTTCATTCCTTTTTTGTTTAGTTTGTTGTTTTTGTGTTGGTTTTTTTTTTTCCAACCAGGCCAAATAAGTAACACAGAATCAGAATTGAAGAAACTTGCAGAAGAAAATCCAGACCTTCAAGATGCCTATATAGCAAAACAGAAGCGCCTTAAAGTAAGAAAACTCTTTGTATTCCCCCCCCTTTATTATGAGCTTGTTAGTGTTAGATTTTTTTTGGTCACAATATAAACATTTGCTTCACCTGTCATTGCCAGTAATGTCATGCAGTGGTTTAACCCTTCAAGGCAGTAGCAGTCTGTCCCCCAGATCAGCTACACACTTCAAGCGTGTGCTGAAGTATTGGACTGATCCCACTGACTTCAAAGGTCAGTACATGTCAGTGCTGGTGTTGAGCTGTTGTGCACCCTGCAGGGTGAGGCAAACCTTGATATCTAGTATCTCTAATGTTTTTCTTCTGATTTCTTAATTGTCACCAGTATCCAAATGTTATCCAGTTGACTACGTGGAGAAAATAATCACATTTTATGAATAAGCACTATAGTATCTTAACTAAAAGTTTGTCTGATAGAAGTGTAAACTCTGTAAAATGATTAAAACACTAACCTGTCTATTTGTTTAGTCTAAACTGCTAGATCATGATAATATAAAATATCTAAAGAAAATACTGGATGAACTGGAAAAAGTTTTGGATCAGGTCGAGACTGAATTACAGCGGCGAAATGAGGAAACACCAGGTAAGGAATTATTCTTGCCAAATCCTGTTGATGCTTATGTTTGGGGAGACTGAATAAACTTGTTGACAGCATTGTTACAGAGCTGTTTTTATGGTGTCTGATTTGATACTTTTAACAAATATTGATCTAACATCACAGAAGGGATCAGTACTATTTTAAATGTATCTTTCTTTGCTGTTGCTGTCAGTGAGTTCTTATTGTCTTATGGGAGCGCTTGAGCATGTTTTCAGCATAGTGAGTACAATTAGCTGCACAATTTTGCAGTATTTTATCACCAAAATCAGAAAAACCTGAACTACAGAATGTTGATGTTGTAGTTGTAGGCCTCAGTTCACTATGATGATCACAACCTTAATGTTTAACACAGGCTTGGTACAATCTTGTGTAAATACTCTGCTGATATTTGTGTTATATGCAGAATTAGCAATCTGGATAATGGCTCTAATCATTAGGCAACCTCCTTCCCTCACTGTCTTGGAAGGCAGTCCTGTTTACTTACAATCTACCTAAATGAAAGTCAAATTTTCACAGAATCATCAAGGTTGATACAGACCTTCAAGATCATCTAGTCTGATCATCAACCTAGCACCACCATAATGACCCATAAACCATATCCCCAGGTGCCACATCCAGACTCCTCTTGAACACTTCCAGAGATGGTGACTCCACTATCATCCTGGACAACTTAGTCCAATACCTCACTACTCTTTCAGTGAAAAACTATTTTCTGATTTCTAATCTGAACCTTCCCTGGCACAACAAAGGCTGTTTCCTCTCATCCTTTTACTTGAGACATGGCAGAAGACACTGACCCCTACCTCTTAGAGCCTCCTTCAACCTCCTCTAGACTAAACAGCCCCAGTTCATAGTATCATACTATGTTAAGGGGTTAGAATGGACCTTAGAGATCATCTAGTACCAACCCACCCTGCCCTGGGCCAGGACACCTTCCCACTAGACCAGGTTGCTCAAGGCTTTATCCAACCTGTCTTTGAACAGTGCCAGGTTGGGGCATCCATGGCCTCCCTGGGCGGCGTGCTCTAGTGTCTTACCACCCTCACATAAAAAAACCTTCTTGCTAAGATCTAATCTACATTTCCCTTCTTTCAACACAACAAAGTTCCTCTCATCCTTTTACTTGAGACATGGCAGAAGACACTGACCCCTACCTCTTAGAGCCTCCTTCAACCTCCTCTAGACTAAACAGCCCCAGTTCATAGTATCATACTATGTTAAGGGGTTAGAATGGACCTTAGAGATCATCTAGTACCAACCCACCCTGCCCTGGGCCAGGACACCTTCCCACTAGACCAGGTTGCTCAAGGCTTTATCCAACCTGTCTTTGAACAGTGCCAGGTTGGGGCATCCATGGCCTCCCTGGGCGGCGTGCTCTAGTGTCTTACCACCCTCACATAAAAAAACCTTCTTGCTAAGATCTAATCTACATTTCCCTTCTTTCAATTTATACCCCTTGCTCCTTGTCCTGTCGCTGCACTTCCTAACACAGAGTCCCTCTCCAGCTTCCCTGTAGGCCCCTTCAGACACTGGAAGGTTGTTATGAGGTCCCAATGCAACCTTCTCTTCTCCAGGCTGAACAGTTCCCTCAGCCGCTCCTCATAAGGCTTATGCTCCATGCCCTTCACCAGCTCTGTTGCCCTTCTCTACATGCTCCAGCACCTCAATGTCTTTTAGTGAGAGGCCCAAAACTGAATAGAGTGCTCAAGGTGTGGCCTTGCCAGTGCCAAGTACAGCACAACAATGGCTTCCCTGGCCCTGCCAGCCACAACTATTATGTTGACTGGGCTTGTTACCCTTGTTGTCCTGCACATGCCATGTAATGGCACTCAGGATGATCTGCTCCCGAGGTCAGGGTGAGAGATCTGTAGTTCCCTGGATCATCCTTCCGACCGTTCTTGTAGATGGGCATTACATTTTCTAATTTCCAGTCAACTGGAACATCTCCAGTTAGCCAGGACTGCTGGTAAATGATTGAAAGTTGCTTGACAAGCTCTCCCCAGCTCCTTCCTTACTCTCAGGTGCATCTCATTTGGGCCCATAGGCTTGTGGGTGTCTAATTGCATAACAGGTCACTAACCATTTCCTCCTGGATTATGGGGGCTGCACTCACCTCTCCATCACTAACTTCCAGCTCTGGGAGCTGGGTATCCTGAGGACAGCTGCTTTTGCTATTAAAGACTGAGGTAAAGAAGTCATTAAGTAACTCAGCCTTTTCCTCATCCCCTGTCACTGTGTCTTCCCATGCATCCAGCAAAATACAGAGATTCTCCTTAGCCTCCTTTTGCTGCCAATGTATTGATATAAATTGGGTTTGTTGTCATTAGCTGCAGTGGCCAAATTAAATTCCAGTTTGTCTTTCCTGCTCATTTTCTCCCTGCATAACCTCACAACATCCTTGTAATTACTCCATGTTACCTGCTCCTCTTACCAGAGGTGATACAGTCTTTTTTTTCCATGAGTTCCAGCCTAAGTTCCCTGTTTTATCAGGCTGGTATTTTTCCCTGCCAGCATATGGGGACAGCATGTTCCTGTGTCTTTAAGATTTCCTTCTTATGTCCATCCTTCCTGGAGTCCTTTGCCCTTCAGAACTGACTTACAAGGGACTCTACCAATCAGTCTCCTAAACAGGCCAAAATCTGCTTGCCAGAAGTGCAAGGTTGTCCAGGATGACCCTGCTTGAGGAGGGAAGTTGAACCAGATGACCCACAGCGGTCCCTTTCAGCCTTACCCATTCTGTGATTCTGTGTTTCTGTGAATATGGCAGTTCTGCTGGTGCCCCTCCTTACTTCATCCAGATCTGAAGTCTCTATCATTTCATGGTTATTATGCCCAAGACAGCACCAACCACCACATCACTCATGAGTTCTTCTCTGTTCACAAACAACAGGTCTAGCAGGGCACCACCCTGGTAGGCTCACTTACCAGCGACAGGAAGTTGCCTTCTACGCAATCCAGGAACCTCCCAGACTGCCTTCTCTCTGCTGTGTTGTATTTCCAACAGATACCTGCCAAGTTGAAGTCCCCCACAAGTACGAGGGCTGGCAATTGTGAGACTTCTGCCAGCCTCCTGTAGAATGCATCATCTGCCTCTTCATTGTGGTCAGGAGGTGTGTAACATACTCCTACCAGGACATCCACTCTGCTGACCTTTCCCCCGATCCTTTACCCACAGGCACTCAACCTTGTCGTCATTCTAAATTTTGTTTGAATGGGATTAGTCTTTTGCTTATTCAGAGTCTGGTCCAACTCCCAGTGGTGCTAACAGGACTCCTTCCTTCCTCTGACTTCACTGGGAGCTGCATGAAGCATCAGTCGATATGAACTGCATCTGCTCAAATCAATAACTTTTTACATTTAGCTCTGGAAATAGCTGTTATAATAATTACCAGTTATTATCACAACCGTACATTTGAACCAGCAATTGAAAATCTAGGTTAAATTTTCTAATGACTCAACAGCAAAAATGCCACAGAAAGTATTTTAACTCTCAAAGGATAGTAGGATTTTCTTCAGCAAACTACATCTGTCACCATTTCCAGCAGCCCCTTTGCTTTCTCTGCTAAATAGCCTTACCAAGGAGTCAGCTGATGTAATATTGATGAGCTTATGAAAACTGCCAGGATTACAGGATTTTGTAAAACATTGGGCTATTACCTGCCTCTTGGAGTTTTGTCTGAGGTACTCACACTTTTGAGGTTTATGATCAGTGCTTCTCCAGGTCCTATTCAAACTCAGAGCTTCTGGTTCTCTTGCTACTGCTCAAATCCTTCATTGACTTGCTGCTGCCACTGCATGCATCTTTCTTTCACACAGGGTGACACGACCCACCTGTATGGGGCATGATATTTGTTATCAATTCTCATCAGGCTGAACAAAGACACAGGACCACGCGCCAGGGAACTTTAGCTTTTATTGTACAGTTGATGTAACTCTGGCAACCAACCCAATATTTAGACCCAAAATGTGTTAGCAAACAAGATCTTAAATGTATGCAATAGACTTCCACAGGAGTGGAGGATAACAAGCCTTTAATTTATACAATACTGTAGAGTACAGTAACTTCTCAATTACCACAACAAACCTCTTAAAGGTGCAGGATCACAAGCCACAACACCACTTTTCACAGTCTCCCCACTCCCACAACAAACTTCAGTAAGGTGTCCGGGGGGCAAAGTATGTTAGCCATGCTTTGCCCAAGCAAAGTGTGGGGAGAGAGAGAAAAAGACAGAAAAGGGAGAGAGCTAACACAGAAAATTACCAGTCGTTAGATCCCGCGTTGATCCTGCCACATGGATGTTCTGGGGCTGGGGCAAAGCATGAGAGTGAAAGGCATGGGAAAGAGAGAGAGAGTGGAAAAAGAGAGAGCGAGGGGACCCTTTTGTAGTTAACATGGTGCAGCCTCTTATGTATACTAGAGTTTTCATGCCATTCTGTTTGTGTGTGCACAGCAGCCCTTTGAGCCTTTCTTCAGGGGGTGCGTCAGGAGGGGTGGAGGGGGCTGAGCAGGAGTCTCCAGGTGAAGGTGGGAAGTTGGCTCAGAACAGCACTCCCCCACCTCTGTAGGACCCTCTGCTCTGATCACATCTTACCTGTCATCAGTCAGAATGCTTGGAAGAGAATATGCCCATGTCTGGTGCTCCACACAGGGTAGCTTCTTTGGTCTTCCTTTCCATCCATCTTACTTACTGGATGAATCCCTAGGTATCCTTTCAGTAACACAGGATACCCTCTTTCTCTGCAGAGGCCTTTCTTACAGACCTGCATGACCAGTTGAAATGGATCGGTACCAGTGGTGTGCCAAACTGTTGCTTCCCCTTGTGGCAAATATGTTGGAAAGGAGATTTGCAAAATTTTTCTGTTTTCAGAGAGGTGCTGCTGAATGTTCATGCCAGCATTTTTGCATGCCTGTCATATGGGAAGAACTGCAAAAGGTTGTGAATGAGAAGGGAACAGCATAGTCCTGTTTGAGATCTAGGCTAGATCTGAGTACTCATTCTGGCAGCTATGCTAACTGCCAAGTTTCGTATTCTGGGTTTCAAAAGCTCTTGGTATAGTCAGTACAGGTCAGCCCTTTCAGGTGGAGGTAGTTCAGGTCACTGAAGGTGCTGTGTAATGCTGCCTGGTCGTGCCTTCTCTGAGCCATCCCAGGAGGAGTCACCTCTTTACTTTGGAGAGGGAAGCTGGGTCTCCATCTGTGTTCCTGACTAGTGGTGGGCAATGTGAATATCTGTCACTTGTCAAACATCTCCATGTAAAAATTCCACGGTTTGGGGTCCAGGACACTCAAAGGAAGGACAGGTAGACAAATTCTGTCTTCTCACTGAGCTGGTGTGTTTGGTGCAGGTCAGTCATCTGATCCATTTCTTTTTGACTTGAAAGCCTCCAGCAAATTAGCTGGAGTTCTTGAGTGAATGCTGTAGAGCTGAGTGACACAGGCAAGATGATAAATTATTCAGACAAGTGGTAGCTTTTCAGTAAAAGCTAAACTGTCGTCCTCCTTTCCAATCCTGTTTAATTTAATCCAGATTTGAGAAATGTAGTTGAGAAAAATAAGCATTTACTGTGGGTTTTAATTTATGAACCTGGAATGTGGCTTTTTTTCTCAACAAATGTAGGCCAGGCTACTTAGCCTAAGACTTTACAATATTGTGTGAAGAACGGACAGGGATTAGTAAAATGTTCGTTGATTAAAGTTATATTTTAGCTGAAGTGTTAGTGGAGTTTATTAGACAGCCTTTTGAAATAGCACTAAACTAAATGTTAGTGCATGGAGGCTTCTACGTGTGCTTGTATTCCATTAGCTCCTAATTCTTTATGTTTTATCTCTGCTTAGAAGATGGAAAGCAACCTTGGCTCTGTGGTGACTTCTTCAGTCTGGCAGATGTATCACTTGCTGTCACATTACATCGCCTGAAGTTTCTGGGATTAGCAAGAAGAAACTGGGGAAATGGAAAGCGGCCCAACTTGGAAGCCTATTACGAGCGTGTCATGAAGAGAAAAGCATTTTACAAAGTTTTGGGACACGTCAACAATATATTAATCTCAGCTGTTCTGCCAACGGCATTCCGCGTGGCCAAGAAAAGGGCTCCCAGGGTTCTTGGCAGCACCCTGCTGGTCAGCATACTGGCAGGAATGGGTTATCTTGCTTTCCTGTGTCTTCGGAAGAGGTTTGCCAACATGTTGTTATCAATTAGAACCAGGCAAAATTATTTTTAGACCTGTCTGTCCCTGGTGGTGAGTGGAGGCCATCTCTACCGCCCCAGGAAAATATCCCAAATAAAATATAAACGTAGAGGAAAGATTGTGTCTGTGAATTAGAGCATTGTCACACAGTAATCATCTCCTGCTGTTGTATAATCAGGTTGGCAATGCTGAGATATTTTTTGAAAGTACATGTTGGGGAGACAACAAAGGAAAGAAGAGACTTTCTTTTCAGCCAAGGGCCTATAACTGTGACAGTGCTTTGTTAAAGTGGTTATTGTCTCCTTAACCCAGTAGCTGACCTAATTATAATGCTTTTATTTAATAGATATTCAGCAATGTGATGGCTTTTCACTGTAGGTGAAATGCATTATTGTGCAAAAACCAGCATTGTTAAAATACTGAATATAGCTCTTATTTTAAATGCTCAGAGTAGGATTTAAGTGGAATATAGGCTCTGTGCCTGTTGTGTATGGGAGTGAATTTCTCTGTACTGATTAATGTCTATTGATTTTAAGTTGAACCTTCAGGAATGTGTTAAAAAGTAATCTTGTGAAGCCACTTTTGTCACTGTATGTTCATGCAGCTGTACAGGAAAAGACCTGAAGCAGGTATGATCAGTGATTTGTGGGCCACACGAGTGAAATTCTCCAGAGGCATCAGTGGACAACAGATGCTAGACTTTTTCTGAAATACAAATGGGAGTGAAAAACCCAACATTTGTCTTTCAAAAGCCTTTCTGGCTCAGCCACAAGCCCTGGCAGAATCAAACCAAACTGTTTTGGTGCACATTTGCTGCTCTCATTGCGGTAGCATTATACAGTTGCCTCCATATGAGTGCCCTATGTACTCTTCCTTGTTTCACACTAAGCACTGGATATTTTTTGCACACTTCTTGGCTACATTAGCAATTGCATGTGCCTCTATGACATGTTTGCCCACAACGTGCCACAGCTGACTAGAAAACATATGCACAACAATGCATTTTTTAGAAGTTCACTATCCATCAGTCTGGTTAGATAGCCTAGATTGAAGATAAAACTGTAATTTAGCAATCTGTTTGCTTATGGGGAAGTGTCATATTGGTGGTGAGTGAAAAATATAGGTCAGTTTGGAGACAGATGATTTGTACTGCAGATAGTTGCAAAACTGCACTCTTGTAGCATGTAGGAAAGGTGTAGAAAGCTATTTTGTTTACTTCCCACTACTCAGCAGGTGCTGTTGAGTTTTATTAGTTTTGAACTGAGCTCCTGTTTCAAACAGAAATGTACATTTACCTGAAAGTAGACTTTGAATCATTTTGCAGCAAGAAAGCATGACAGTTTAGTAAGACTTTTGTATTCTTGATGAATGTCTGAAAACCTCAGAGTTTTGTTTACAAGTTGCACATAGCTGCAATGAACAAAATATAGCTGTAAGTTTTTGTCTACCAACCACCAGTGCTAACTGGCATAAGTACATTTTAGATCCAGTGCTGGTGACTGTGGTCTCTCTGCACAACTGCGTTTAGGTGTCAAGAAGATCCTCTTAAGTTTGCTGAAGAGAACTGCGGGAGTTTCTCTCTGAGCAGTCTCACTAGCTAACACATGTTAATATGGATAAAATTGTTGAATACTCCTGCTTATTATTTAATATTTGCTAGTTGTCTAGCAAATATAGACCTAAATCTCATAACTCCTTTTCAGTAATAAAAACCATCTTACCTAGGAAACAATGCAGCTTTTTATTTGTCAAAAAGACAGTTTAATATAATTCTATTTCATGGCCCAGTTGTTCTCAAGAACTTGTAGAATTAAATGTGCTCTGTTTAGAAAAGCTTTATTATCTCTAGAGTGAGTTTAATCCAGCAATACTATTAATGTGCTGGTAGCTTTAACTGAGTTTGTTGTTTGTGTATTGCAGTTCATCTGCACTTACTTGTAACCATCGTATTCCACTAAATTAATAATCGCAGAGTAAGACTGTAACTTAATGCTTCCCTGGCATGTATTTCTGTCAGGACATCTGTGAGATGTAATCTGCCCAAGTGGTAGTAAAGTTCAATATATATGACTTGGCTTTCTTTTGAATTAATTTATATTTTACTTTTTCCTTCTTCTTTCTTTTTAAAATGTGTTATTTGTAGATGGGACACTTATATTCCCAGAGGTGTGCCAGTTTAGTTCACACTAGCAGCCCTGTGGGCTGTGAGACAGGCTGATTATTGAGGAAGCAGTTTTACTTCCCCCCAAACCTCAGTGCTCTGCACTTCAGCTCATGCTAGTTGCCTGCCAGGAGCTGCAGATCCTGTTGGAAGGAGTGAAGTGACCACCAGATGTCAGTGGTCCTCCAGGGCTCTGTTCTGGCCTGCCTCTGAGGAAGGAAAACACTAGTTTTCACAAAGAAAAGGTTTGTGATCTCAGCATAAGAGAGATGTGAGCACCCTCATTAGACTAGCAGTCCCTCAAGAGCTCTTGAAACAACTGCTTTGGTCTACCACAGGTTGGTTCTCTGATACCTGTTATTTATGCTTGTGTAGTTTCTACACTGGGTCAAATAAGGGGCCAAAGTTGAAATATTATTTCACATGAAAATGAATGCTACTGAGTAGGAATTAAACTTGTAATCTGCAGAAATGAACATTGGTAAAATGTTTACTGTGGAAAAGTTTGGATCCCTAGATTGATTCATGTCTGTTAGTTCATCTGTATGCTATCCTACTTATTTTCACTGCCCTGTGCTCCATCAGTTTCTGTACAGGTGGCAGCAAAAGGCTTATCCATGATTAAATTCCTCAAAATAGGATGAGATTTAGAAGCACATATGCTGTATTTGGCTCTTTGTGCAGGATAGCTTTTGTGCTTGTAAAGTTTCTTTTCAGCCTGGCTTATTTTCTTTGCTCTGGTAGCTGTGTATACTATTTCGATTGGATACACAAGCAATCATCTGGTTTTGATTTACTATTTGCTCTCATATAGTGCATCAGATATATTTCATATCTTTATGTGGGACCTGCACAATAAACATTGATTCTAAGACCACTTTCTATACTGTTTTATGTCTTCTGTGTCAATAAAACAAAGCACATTTGAGGATCATACCATATTGCTGTAAGGAGTCTGATGCTATTCAAGGAGTCTGATGCTATCCAAACTTTTAAACCAGTTTTAAAGGTGTTCAGCAGATTGCCTTGCATGTATATGGAAACAGCAGAAACGATGATAATGTGTTCTTTGGTTGTCTGTCTGAGCTGTATATGCATGAGGCTTGACAGAAGTCATTTAATAAAGTAAAAAAAAAGGAAGGCGGGCATGCAGGTTTTGTACTTTCAGTTAATCCAAACAAAAAAAAAAGAAAAATCCAGCCTCACTTCCCTACTAAGTGTGTCCTTGATTCATTGTTGAACTGCAGCACCTGGGGCTCTTTTCTGTGTAAGATGCATGACAAGCACATAATCTGTGCCCATACTGACATTATCCTTGATGAAACTAAGCCATTTGCCCCCAACCAGTGTTAGTTTGGTCATAACCAAGCGGGTTTTTTTATTTCTTTCATTGTAGCAGTCTGCATTGGGCCTCTTTTCTTATTAAGCAGAGGAATATACAATGGTACTCAAGGCTTGCATGCATTTCCTCTCAGTGTTTTGAAAGTCGGAAAAGCTCTTAGGATCAGGTAGACAGCTGGTAGGCCTTGAGTTTCAGGAGATTATGACACCTGTGGTCTACGGACCAACTTTGAGGTAGACTTGATAGCATTAATCAGAAATGTACACAGAGCTCTTGCTGTGGAAAGTTTATGTCTAAACAGAGGAACAAGAGCAAATGGGAAGGTAAGTATGGTGAGTATAAATTCTTTGTGCAGGTTCACAAAGCCATACATCCACTTTTACATATCACATTTTTGTAGGCATTTTTTACTTAAGTCTTAGTTTTATGAGAACGAGGAGCTACTAAGGTTTAGAGCGCAGATTGGCATGCCCTAATTTGTGAGGATTAGAGATAGCAGTAGGTGGAAAGTAGGTGAAAAGTAGTGGATCTAGCTAACTGGAGTACACTGTGCTCTGCAATAAGGTGTATGACAGATTATTCTTTGCTGAGGCCTCCTGGTTAAGTTTATCTCTCTGTTTAGCTGATGTTAGACAAAGAGGTGTAAGGTTGTGCTCTAGGCAATTTATAAGATGTGCTGAGGAAGTCAAAAGCATGTAGAAAAATCCCAAACAAAATATGTTGGGTTTTGTTCCCTCCTTTCTTTATAAAGAAATATTTAGTTTTGGTGCAGTACCAAGTCATAAAGTCAGGCACTCAAAACTCAGGAAATTCCAGAAGCCAGAGTTCTTACAATACTGTTAACTCACTCATACAGTACTTCAATAGCCTTTTTATTTCTGTTTTTCTTTCTAAGTTACAATTGTGGTGCTTTATTTAATGTGAAGTTAAAAATGTTGCACCATAAAATAGTTAAGCTGTGGATAAGTTTAGTGTTGTGGGAAGAATCTGTTGGAATTTGCAGAGCTGAAGGCCTAGCTATTTCTGTGCTTTACATCAGCATTAATATCGACTACAGTTTAAAATACTCATGAATAATGGTGTAAAAGTGCATTGTGTAAACTCATAGATAATAGCATACATCAGTATACATCTACTCTATATACACTAATATGTATTGATCTCCTTTTTATATTCTATAGTGTCCCTGTTTATCCCTGTTTATTCTTCTGATAAAAATACCTAATTGACAATTATGTATGTTACTGTGCTGTTTGCATTTATAAAATAAATCTACAAAGCTAAAATGCTGAAAATTTCATGAAATCATAGAATTATAGAACGGTTTGAGTTGGAAGGGACATTAAAGTTCATCTAGCTCCAACTCCTCTGCTGTAGGGGGATATGTTCCCCTTTCCATATTTACTTTGACAGCATTATAGCATACATCATGACAGTAGGGACTTGAAAATATACTTTAATGTATTTTGTGCTTCTTGTTAGCTGATCATCCAGATCAAAAGCTGAATGCTAGTTCATTTAGACTGAGCTAAAACCTCTAGCTGTTGAGAAACAATTGCCATCCTGAAAATTGCTCATTTAAGACTTGTTTCAGAAAGGTTGCCTAACTTCAACCATTTAAGCAGATGATACCTATGTTTCCCTATGCAGCAGAAAATAGAGCATTCTTGGGGCCAGACCAGGAGACCACTGGTTCTGTCACCTGCTGGCTGAGGCCTTCATTTTACAGAAAGTGAAGTCCTTCTCCCACACTTCGTATTGAAGTTGTTAAAACTGAGAAGTAGGGACAAAAACTCCTCGCTTGTAGATACGTGCCCTATGCAGTAGGTTGCAGAGTCAGGCTCCTTCAGCACAAAACATGTCTGTCTTTGTAGAAATCAGAGGCCATTTCTTTAACTAAAGGTAGTTTGAATGTGTGGAGGGCTGGAATTGCCAGTC